GGCCGCGTGCAGGTGATGTGAGGACGTTTGCTCTGCGAGACGTGATGACACTGAACCACCGAGATCGCTGATGGCCCGCCCTCGCGGCCCCAGGCGGAAAGCAGGTGAGAGCCTCGCTCAGGGCGGCCTTTCCCTCGCAGGACAGGACATCCAGCCCAAAAGGGACCTCACCCGCTTTGTCAAGTGGCCCCGCTACATCCGGCTGCAGCGCCAAAGGGCTATTCTCTACAAGCGGCTCAAAGTGCCGCCTGCCATCAACCAGTTCACCCAGGCCCTGGACCGCCAGACAGGTAGGTGCTGTGGCTGGAAGCCAGCGCTGGGAGGGACTCGGGGCTCCCTGTTTAGTTTCCAGACCCTGGAGGTGGCATAACTGAGGCTTCTTGAAGTGCCACTCACACCTAACGCTTCTGACTCGAAGTGAGGAAGGTTAGCACTTAGAGCAGCGGTTCTCAACCTGTAGGTCGCGACCCCGTTGGGGGTGAAACGACCCTTTCACAGGGGTCGTCGCATAAGACCATCGGAAAACATATAATTACGTATTGTTTTTGTGATTAATCACTGTTTTAATTATGTTCAATTTGTAACAATTACATCCTACATATCAGATAGTTATATGACGATTCATAACAGTAGCAAAATTAGTTATGAAGTAGCAACGAAAATAATGTTATGGTTGGGGGTCACCACCACTTGAGGAGCTGTATTAAGGGGTCGCGGCGTGAGGAAGGCTGAGGACCACTGGCCTGGAGCCTGAGCTGGTGGTTCTCCCAGCCACTCAGCTGCTGAAGCTGGCCCACAAGTACAGGCCCGAGACCAAGCAAGAGAAGAAGCAGAGGCTGCTGGCCCGGGCTGAGAAAAAAGCTGCCGGCAAAGGGGATGTTCCCACCAAGAGGCCTCCTGTCCTCCGAGCGGGTGAGTGGGGTTCTCCTTAAGGGGGGGTGGGGGCGGGGGGCGGCCTGTCAGTAGTTAGGCGTGGGCTTCTTCATCTGCAATCACTGAAGAGTATGTGGAGCCTCTTAACCTTGAGGCATAGCTGGGCCCTGATGGAGAGCTGCTTTGTGAACAGCAGCCATGCACCCCGCTCATGCAGACTGGCTGTGTGTTCTAGGGGTGAACACGATCACCACCCTGGTGGAGAACAAGAAGGCCCAGCTGGTGGTGATAGCGCACGACGTGGACCCCATCGAGGTACGTGGGCCTCGTGTGAGTGCTGGCAGCTGAACTGAGACCGGGTCTTTATGTCGGTACCTACAGATAAAGCTTAATTCTGAGTCTGCCACATTAAGTGGGCTGACAGCTTTTCATTTGAGGACAGTACTGACGAGGGATCCAGCTGATCTTGTGGCTCTTGCAATGATGTGAATTTCTCACTGAATTAATCCTTGAAGTGCAAATAACATGAGCTTTTTAACCCTGAGCAATTGCTGCCCAGCTAACTTTTAAATCATCGCTTCTGGTCAGACTACACTCTGAGCTAACGCTATCTTCCAGCTGGTGGTCTTCCTGCCTGCCCTGTGCCGGAAGATGGGGGTCCCCTACTGCATCATCAAGGGGAAGGCCCGGCTGGGGCGCCTCGTCCACAGGAAGACCTGCACCACCGTCGCCTTCACACAGGTTAACTCGTAAGTATGCAGCTTGGTCCCAAACCCCAAGTGTGCATAGGGGACAGCCTGCTCCCACCCTCCACTCTGCCCCCCCCCAATCCCCCAGTTCACTTCATCTCCTTGGATTTTATCTTAAAAGAGCAAATGTTCTAGCTTTAAAGGAGTAAATACATTAATTTGGACCTTTGCCGATGATGGTTACGAATTTCTTCACCTGAATAAACCATGTGGTCATGTTGTGTCTGAGGCAAAAGGCTTTTGTTTGGAGCCAAGGCCCCATTTCCGCTCTGGAAGGGCCCGCAGTCTGACGCACGTCCCGTCTCCTTAGGGAAGACAAGGGCGCTCTGGCTAAGCTGGTGGAGGCCATCCGGACCAACTACAACGACAGATACGACGAGGTAAGAAGCGCTTTTTGTACAGCGCTGTCTGGGTGAGTCAGGCCTCAGCCAGAGGCCTGCCTGGCTCTTCATGAGCCGTGCACACCACAAACCGCTGGGCCCGACTGACTTCTGCTCTTGTCCTTGCAGATCCGCCGCCACTGGGGAGGCAACGTCCTGGGTCCAAAGTCAGTGGCTCGCATTGCCAAGCTGGAGAAGGCCAAGGCGAAGGAGCTGGCCACTAAGCTGGGCTGAGTGCGCGCTGTTGCGTTTTCTGTACATAAAAGTAATAAAAATTCTCCTGGACCAGCGTCTTGGTCACTTGGGGTTGAAGGTGATTTATTGCTGGCAAGAAGTCTGGGGTGGTGGCAAGTCCATTTTCAAACCAGGGGCCTTGAGCTAACTACTGTGCAAGTTGCTTCGTGTGTGGGTCCATTCAAACTGTCTGGACCTGCTGCTCGGCCCTCGTGCACTCGCCAAACCTGGGTTTTCTGATGGACCAGGTAACCAGATCACTCAGGTAGCAGCAGTTTATTTATACCAATAGCACGTGGCCCGGTTAAACCCAATCTGGTGACGTATTTATTCAGTGGCTCCCAGGACGGGCCACATCAGTCATCTCATCACATGCCAGGAGCCCGACGCAGGAACTTCTTCACCCACAGGTACGACGTGGCCGCGCAGAGTCCGTACCTCGGGTTGTAAGGAAGTGTCAGTGAACAGTTGTGAAGGGGAGGGGCCAGCGCGCACAGAGATGGGACTCACCAGGTGATGATGTACTGCATGTGCTCATTCCTCAGGGTCACTCTGGTCTGCCCGCCAATGGGTCCTCCAGGGACTGTGCTCTCTGTAGAGGCACTGAGTGTTGGCACTGGTCTCCCTCTGGCCACGTGGCCAGCTGCTTCCTTGGGGCCTTGCTAACCATCTCCCCCAGAGCCTTTGAACTTGGCCAATGTCAAGTCACCTCAAGAGGACCTTGCACCTGTACCTGGTGTACAGCCGCGCCCCCGACCCCCACCCCCACCCCCGAGCACATAGCGTGCAAACAGCAGGAACCGACTCCCGTTTCTTGGCCTGGCCGGTCACCACGTACTGAAGTCCGCATCGATGAAGATGGGCTCTGTGCCTGTGAGCGTGGCCATGGCCTCCAGGTCCCGGTAGTACCAGTGGTTCCTTTCTGGGTTGTTCTCCGGGACAAAAGGCTTCCTGGTCTCTGTCAGCCTTACCATCCCAACCAGGTCCACTTCTCCCTCAATCTAAAAGAGAGGGTGTCCCTCAGGGCACAGCAGAGAAGGGGGGCTCCCAGAGCCCTGCTCACCTGGGGGAACAGGCCCCCCGCCCTTCGCCCCTTACCTGGCCTTTCTTCCGAGTGTCGGGATTCAGTTTCTTCCTGGGGACAAACCCTCGGTTCACCAGGATGCTCATCCTAGATGGGAAAGCGCGTGGTTTCAGGCGGGAAAGGGTTTGGAGATGACCACTTGGCTCCAGCGCATTCAGGAACTGGCACTACCAGGGCGGGTCTAAAGCAGGACAGCGGAGACAGGTGTGTGCCCCTGGGCAGGTCTTCCTGTGCCCGTGTCCTGACTGGTAAGGGCCACCAACCCCTGGGAGGGAAGCCAAGGTTGTCCCTCACCCCCCCCCCATCTTCCTCGTGCCACTCCTGCAACATGCAGCCAGTGATGCCCACCAGGGCCTGGGTTCAGGCTCCCTCCCCTCGAGAGGACTGGGCACAGCAGCCTGTGCCAGCCTCCAATCTCCCCTTCTAACCAGGGGACACTAGAGGGACAGCTGCTAGAGACCAATGGGCCCATCCCTGACCTAACCAGGTGGCTGTGGTGACAGGGCCCCCAGGCTTTCATTTGTCCATTGACATTGGGGAGGCTGCTCTATTGCACCGCCCCTTCTGCGCTGTTTCCTCCCTTCACTCCAAGTCCGGCCCAAATAGTACCTTGGGACACTCTCCCTGAGCTGGCTCCCTCCAGAGTTCCTGTCACTATCCCTTCATGCTGCGCCATCATTTAATGAGGTGGCCACTGAACGGACAGAGTTCTTGCTTCCCTTTCAGAGCAGACAGGACTTGTGCAGTGATGAGCTAAATGAGTCAGCTTCATGTCCGGGCTACAAATTCAAACTCTTGATGGAATCAAACCTTCTAGTTCCCCAGGGTTGGGGGTAGGAAGGGAAAATGAAGAGCTGCCCTGACCACATACATCTGCCAGGCTCCCTGCGTGTCACTCACCCCAGGTCGGTGCAGTGGAAAGGGGTGATGACGTGGGCACCGCTCTGGGCCGAGGACGAGAGCCGGCCCGCCTCCCGGGCCTCCCGCTCCGGGTCCACCATGGTCCGCGGCATCATGTACAGCTCCTTGGAGTGGTCAAAGTGCCCCCTGACCTTCACCGGCCTGTACTCCAGGTTTCTCAGCTCCATGGGGCTGCACGGGAGGGGACAAGTGCAGCTGAAGCCAGTTTGGGAGGAAGAGAAACCCTCAGGGCTGCAAACGACAAAGCCCACCGCAGCCCGAGGTGACGGTGATAAGGGGGATGGCTGGGGTGATGGCAGTGCCCGCTATAGGGAAGCTGACCCCTCGGGTGTCCCATAGGAACGGCTCTGCTGCCCCACAGTCCACGTTTTCATGAGAAGCCAGAGGGGCACTCCTGTATGGACTTGATCATGTGGCTAAAACCCCCTTCGAGCACGTTTGCGCCTAAATGGAGGCTTTGTTGAATACAGCCGTTCTTCTAGGGCAGTTGCATCATTTGGGGCACTTTCAAAATACCTGCTCTCGCCCTCCAGCTAAGCGTTCCTGCTTTAGGGGGCCATCAGCACAGGTTTTTCTATAATTCAGGCAGCTTCCCAAGGGTGACCATGTCAGCAAGAAGCCCAGCAGGACCTCCCATCCTGAGGGCGCCCATCTGAGGGCCAGGACCCCAAGCAGCTCCACTGCTGAGCAGTGCGAGGAGCCCCAGGCCGCAGCCCCACACTCACTCTGTGGGCAGAGGGACAGGCTCAGCCATAATTCTAGACTCCAGCTCCGAGATCAGCTTCAGCTTCCACTTGCGCCGCTGGACCTACGGAAACAGCGTAAGCCCAAGCAGACGGCAGCGGGCCCAGGGCTCGGAGCCACAAGAGCTAGGGGCCAGTCCTACCTGCCATGTCCCCAGGCCAAAGGCAGTCACCGGAATGAGAAGCAGGAACCACTGGAGAAAGGAGTCGTCCTCTGCTTTTGTGGCAGGCGCTTCTGCTGCGGAGCTGCGGCACCTGCTGGGCCTCCAGGCCAGACCTAGGGAGTGTCACACGGGCCTGGGGTCGCAAGCCCCGGAGGAGCACGGGGTACAGGAGGGGCGGGCCCACAACCTGCAGCCAGGAGCCAGCTCCCAGCCCAGTGCCCGGCACGTGGCACTCAGTGGATGTTTACTGACTGAACCAGACCCAGGGCTCAGTCGTGGCTGCCACCGACCATGACCCGGGTAATTCGTGGCACCACTTCACGCCTCTCCCGCGGGAGGATGCTGTGATGTACATGCCACTGCGCCGACATGCACCGCACGGGCTACTGTGGTCTGATGAGACGAAATGTGATAGGCTCGGGACAGTGCTTCACAGAGCTCTCCTAACTGCTCTGCCTTTTCGTTATTTTTAATAAAGCAGTTAAACGACAAAATTTATTTACAAGGTTACAAAGGTAGAAGTGAGCCTAGGCAACCCAGGCGTGCTTCTGGAGGGAGAGATTAAAAAAAAAAAATTACTTGCTGATTTAAGGGAGGAAGAGGGAGAACCACCAATCCGTTGTTTCACTTGTGCACGCATTCGCTGGCTGACTTTTGTATGTACCGACCAGGGACCGAACCCTCCGTCTTGGCTATCCAGAGGATGCCCTAACCGCCCGAGCTGCGCGCAGGGCCCGCTCTGCGTTCTCATTGCTCATAAATGCAGAGGCGGAACAATATACACAGAAGGTGCATTTCAGCTCGCGGAGGGGCCCCTGGGGGGTAGAAAGGCGGGCCTGGGCGGGAGGGTGGGCAGCAC